GCTACACCTCATTCCATACCCTACATTCCCTGTCAGGAGTAAGATCATTTTAGTTTAAGGTCATCCAATAAGTAAGATTCCTACGACTGTTCTCTGTCCACTGATAATTACGTTCCATTTTGCATTCACATTCGCACCTTTGCTCAGAGCTCAAAATGTTATTTTATTCTCCTTGGAAAGCTCTTTGCATTTGCAAATAGACAAGATAATCCATGACCTTTTAATAGACAGTATGTTACTGAACAGTTACTGAACATTATAAATAGCATTGCCTAAATTGTTGCTGCTTGAGTTCTATTTCATCTTGGATTTGTGTCCAGAGTTATGTAAAAGTGTACTGCAACCAATGTAACACAGGCATACTGAAGTGGTTTTAAAATGATAATGGAAATGCGTAGGCACAGATATGGATACACAAATCCTGTGGGTGTTTGGAATGAGTATGAAGGGCAGAATTCGGTAATTTGCAAATAACAGCGTTGGGAAGTTATTAACCCTTTACCAGCTAAATAAGCTTGATTGCTAGTCCTGAGGCAAAGCTGCCAAGGGTCCTCCTCCGGTTCAAGAACCCCTCTCCACCATCCATCCCCTCCTAATACCAACTCTTTGTCTGTATCCGAAATCCTTGAACAATGAACTTACTGGAGACTCACAGACTACCTTTAGGTAATTTCACCAGAATAAAAATTGTGCTTTCCTACTAGCTCCCTAGTTTATTTCAACAGTCAAAATTACTGAAAATCTACTCGCTGCAAGGCTCCTCTAAGTGCTGGTACAGAATACAAAGAACAGCTAATTTTCTATTACCAATCATCTACTGAGGGGGATGACAAGGTATAAGACGTTCCTGCCTGCCTTCATAGACATTTCCACAGTGAAATTATTTTTTTTTAAAGATTTTATTTATTTGACAGAGAGAGATCACAAGTAGGCAGAGGCAGGCAGAGAGAGGGGGAAGCAGGCTCCCCGCTGAGCAGAGAGCCTGATGTGGGGCTCAATCCCAGGTCCCTGAGCTGAAGGCAGAGGCTCAACCCACTGAGCCACCCAGGTGCCCCGAAATTCATTATTCTTCATAAATTTGTCAAAAAATTCCATTTCTTTTTTAATCTAAACCTGTAAAGTGGGTTAAGTATCTCCTAAATTGAGGTTCAGACAAGGTTAGTTACTTACCCAAAGTCATTGAGCCATTCTGTAGGAGACACTCCAACCCCTCTGATTTCTCATCTTGACATTTTCCATCGATGCAGAAAGCAGGATGAAAACACTCTGGTCATGTAAAAGGAATGACAAAGCAGGTCGGGGTGCCAACTCCCAATAGAGCTGTCATAGGGAGAATTAAATCTGAATGGGGGAGGGAGGTGGTGGTAATCAGGGAAAGCTACAGGAAGAAATGGCCTGGTCTCTGGGCATGAGTAATATTTGGTAGGTGGAAACAGAAGGTGGGAGGTGGCATGTCAAGTTGGAAGGAACAGCATGAGCAAAATCCTGAAAGTAGAAGTATCAAGTCTGGGGAGCTATGAGTAGTATCAAGCATTAGAAAGGATGGGGTGGATGGTCCAAAAAGTTGGGGACCAGACTGTGGATGGCAATGCATTATATGCTCAGGGATTTATCTAGAGGTTATGTAAAGCCACTGAACTCTTAAGGAGGGTAACCCTGACTGTAATAGGGTCAGTGTTACGAGCATTTAATGAACAGAGTATCATCTTGCTCTCTAGATCTTAGAACTGTTTACTTATTCATCTTCCATAAGCAATTATTTTGAACCTCCTCATTCAGGAGCAAGAAGTTCAATCACATCCTCAACTTGAGCTAGGCCATCACTTCATTTAGAATAGAGTACCTCACCGCATTCTTTTCCCAATCAAATGATTTCCATAAATCCCAATCTTGCAAGGAAGTAGGTATCAAAGCATTTTCTCTATGCTTTTTCCACTTGGGGCTTTATAAGCTAGCCTGTCAGTTAATCCTCACCACACACATTTGCAGTTTGAAAAGAACCACAATACAGAAACCCTGGGCTTATACACTCCTCTGTAAACACTTTCTGCCTCAGCAATGAGCTGCAGATGCTGCCTCACTGCTATTACTCATAACCGAGTAACTTGTCTCACATATTCTGGGAAAGCTTTTGTATGAACAATACCAATTGTTTTCCTTTTAAGTGGGGATGGGATAAACACATGTATTCCAAATCTAATTGTTTTATTTCTCTTGTGCTCAAAAAGCTAAACCTACTTCGTTCTTATCAACTTTTATAAGTTTTAGCAAAATTGTTTTTTTTCTACTTTTTTCCCCTATCATAGTACAGAGAAAAGGTTGACTCTAGTGAGAATACAGTAGATATGAAACTGGTTTTTTTTCTGCCACAACATTTAGAGTGTAAATTTTATTCAGCCCTTGGGATCATGCTCAACTGAACAAAAACAGAAGTTCTCAAAATGTACCTGGCTAGACCAGAAAAGATAGAATCGAAAGTTCAAGGAGCCATGCACCTTCATTTACCGTCATGGCTCTAATTTAAGAATAGGGCAGAAAGGTTAAAATTTAGAACATTTTTCTTCATCCTCACCAAGTGTAGAAAAGGGAATTGCACAGTAAGAGATTCTTTTATAATTCTACAATCTGTAACAATTTCTCATTATTTAAAAGGACCTGCACTTCAAGGCAGGCACGTAATTTCTCAGCACACACACATTACTCAAAGCTAGGGAGTTTGATGCAATTTGTTTCTCCAATAATAAAACCTCTTCAAACTAATCTGTGTATTTCCAGGACATCCAGATGGAGCTGCCCAAGAAGCTGGAAATACAGGTTCAGAAAACATGAGTTCTGAAATTTGAGTCTCAAGTATATTAGAGATGACTAAATACATAGATCAGTGGTTCTCAAACTTGAGCAAGCAGCAGGCACCCAGAGAGGTTCTGAAGTGTGGGGCTCATTCCCAGAATTTGATTTAGTAGGCCCACATTTTTAAGAAGTTCCCCAAAAATGTTGATGTCAGGTGGGAAACCATACTTGACAACCATTGGAGCCTACAGCAAAGCCTGACCTCATGACGCTGAGACCTAAGCCAAAACCAAGTCGGACTGCACTCCAATACTAAAAATGGTTTATGTACGTTCATGGTACCACTATCGCATTCACAGTGCATTAGAAAATCACCACACCATACAAGTTGAAAGAGTTCACTTTATGGTGACCTGCCCTAAGAACTCCCCTAAACTAGTTATATTTAACAGCCCTTTTATCTCAATATTCACTTTCACCAGCCCTCCTGAATTGAGGGACCCAATCCTCTGCCATGTCTTCTGTCACAATTGTCATCTGGTGTCATAGGAATATGGAGTCATAGGTCCTATGTGCATAAAGGACCTCTGGGAATCATTTGGTCCAATCCCTATACACATATAGATAATACCCTCATTTTACATGGGGCAACAGGAAGGTTAATACAAACTGCTGAAAAATGAACAAAGTTTGAGGTTTCCCAATCTTTCCACATCATGTAAGAGACTTAATATTAAATCTCAATTACACATGAACAAAATTGTTTTGAGACCTTTAAAATCCAAATCACTCTAGTTTGGTGAAGTCCATAGGAAAACAAGATTAAGCATACATACAGAAATTAGAAAATGTGTTTGGCGCACCTGGGTGGCTCAACTGGTTAAGCATTTGCCTTTGGCTCAGGTCATGATCCCAGGGTCCTGAGACTGAGCCCATCAGGTTCCTGCTGGCAGGGAGCCAGCTTCTCCTTCTCCTCCCAGCTTGTGCTACCTCTCTCAAATAAATTTTAAAAATCTAAAACAAAAAAGAGAAAAAAAGGCAGTGCTTTCCTCAATTCAAAAAACATTTATGAAGGGGCACCTGGGTGGCTCAGAGGGTTAAGCCTCTGCCTTCGGCTCAGGTCATGATCTCAGGGTCTTGGGATCCAGCCCCGCTTCGGGCTCTCTGCTCAGCAGGGAACCTGCTTCCTCCTCTCTCTCTGCCTGCCTCTCTGCCTACTTGTGATCTGTCAAACAAATAAAATCTTTAAAAAAAAAAAATTATGAAATACTTATTGGGTGCCTGGGTGGCTCAGTGGGTTAATAAGCCTCTGCCTTCAGGTTGGGTCATGATCTCGGGGGTACTGGAATCAAGTCCTGTGTTGGACTCTCTGCTTGGCCGGGAGCCTGTTTCCCCCTCTCTGCCTGCCTCCCTGCCTACTTGTGATCTCTGTCAAATAAATAAAATCTTTAAAAAAATAAATAAATAAAAGAAATACTATGTGCCAGGACCCAGGAGGACATACTAAGAGTTTTTAAACCCCAGATCTAATGTGAAGATCAAGTTTTTAAAAATTATGAACACACCTGTAGTGGGAATAGGCATAAGGGATTTATTCTACCATCCCAAACCATAATTTCTCTTCTCTGATTCCAAGCACTTCCATTCATTCCTCTCCATAAAATTACTTTTATCAGGGAAGGTTCACCTATGACACTCAAGGTGAACAAAGGACTATCAGGAATTTACCAACTTAAAGTATAGGTATTTCAGGGAAAGATACAAGTACAAAGGAACTGGGGAAAGCAAGCAATTCCAAGAAGCAAAATTTTCCCAAGAGCCAGAGCAACATACAGGAAAACCATAACAGGAAATGATAGGGAAAACAATTTAGTAGGAACCAAACAGAGTGCTTTAAACCATCTATTTTTAAATAGTACTCTTCAAAGGCAAGTTCTTTAACCTCACAACACAGCTATTTAAGGCAGGATACAATTCCAAGACTCAACTTTCCCTAAGCTTAAATGCAATGCAACAGATAACCTTTCACGTATTTTTTTAAATTTTTTTCTTTGGGATTTGGAGAGACTATTTTCCAACCACAAATATTTTTAAAGTAATATCTGGCAGTTTTCTAATCAACTGAGTATATTCTTTTCTATGATAAACCACCTCAGATCTTTCAGCAAGAAAAAAGCCACTAAGTTTGAATAAAGACATCACCCAAAGAATTAGGACACAAAGTTTGCTTTAAATATTTTTTCGGGGAAAGGACACTACACTTCTACTCAATTAAGAGAAACAATTTTACAGTCTTGAGGTCCTTTATTTTATTTATCATGCCATGAATTCATAGGGAATGGGTTCCAGCAGTTCGGGCTCCTTTCCGTTGGTTCTCACGAAATGTGCTTCTCTGGGTGGAGCAGGCTATTGGGAAAAAAGAAAAAAAAAAAAAAACCACCAAGGGAACAATTACAACAGGGACGTGATCAGTTTTGAAGTGTTCTCAGAAACAAAAAAATAAAATACTCAATTCATTCGCTTTCATATGAAAAAGAAACTACTACTGAGCAAGTTTTAAAATTCTAAAGATTAATAGCAAAAACCATCTGTCGAGCACTCACCTGACGCTTCAGCTGAACCCAAGTACCTTTCTCTTTGGCTTCCTTCTTTTTCTGATCATTTTCCTTTACACGCTTCAGGAAGCTATCTCGGCTCTTTGAATGTTTAATATGCTCAATGCGGACATTAATTCTCTTGGCAAGAATCTTGCCCCTGGGGAGAATCAACATTACTATAAATACTTCAGCAAAAATTTAACAAAGTCCAATTTTATTTGGCCATTTCATTTATTAAATAAACCATAAACCTTTTACCTACAAATAGGATTACACAGCAAGGTGATGGCTAATTTATAATCATTAATCGTACTAGAAAAAAACTTGGAAGCAAACACCTCCACTTTTTTTTTCCTTTTTAAACATTTATTCACTGGGGTGCCTGGGTGGCTCAGCCATTGAGCATCCCACTCTTGGGTTTTGGCTCAGGTCATCATCCCAGTGTCATGGGACTGAGCCGTTTTCGGGATCTACACTCAGCAGGGTGTCTACTGGAGATTCTCTCTTCTCTCCCTCTGTCCCTCCCCACGCTGCTCACGTTCTCTCTAAAAATAAAAGGTTTATTGGGGGCAGGGGGAGTCTTAAGCAGACTCCATGCTGACTGTGGAGCCTGACTTGGGGCTCCATCCCACAAGCCAAGCCAAAACCAAGAGTTAGATACTTAATGGACTGTGCCACCCATACATCACCAAACATCTCCACTTTAAAGCCTCCTCTTTTTTTTTAAGATTTTATTTATTTATTTGACAGACAGATCACAAGTAGGCCGGGGCGGGGGCAGGCTCCCTGCTGAGCAAAGAGCCGGATGCGGAGCTCATGATCCCAAGGCAGAGGCTTTAACCCACTGAGCCACCCAGGCGCCCCTCAAGCCTCCTTTTGATGAGGTGACAGACCTTGAAATACCATAAGCCAAAACCAAATTACTAACTGAATTTACTACTTACACTTCTTTTTATACTTTGAAAACTAAAACTGCTTAACACCAAGCCCTAATAAAACTTTCCATTAAGTCTAGTTCAATGTGTTTCCTCTGACAGGATACAAGGCAAACACCCAGTTTGCTTGAGTTTTAAAAGGATGTTTCCTTTGCCCCACTTGAATGACCAATAAAGACATAAGTCCAATTGGCAAAGTGAAAAGGGGGTATGAGGGAATACTAATCTGCTAAAAAGAACTCTGACATTACTTACTTAACTTGTTTGTTTACAACAATACCAACAGCATGCTGAGTAACATTGTAGACTCTTCCAGTTTTGCCATGGTAACATTTGTGGGGCATTCCCTTTTGAACAGTGCCCATTCCCTGTTAAGAAAGGAGATGAAAGTTATGCCAGCATTTCCCCTTCCTTTTACATCCTGACTCTTACTATAAAAGTAACTAAGATACTCTAAAATTTTTTTCTTTCAAATGGCAACTCAAGAGCTTTCAGAGCCGGTGAAATGTGTTTTTCACACTGCTTCAAGCAATCAAAAAGACAATCATCATTAAGCTCCAGAGTACCAGGATACATTTAAATACCGGTCACAAAAGAACTTCTACTGTTTATTTAAAAAAATAACAATCTCCATCTCAGTCTCCATCAACAATTACATTTTCCACCAAAGTATTATCCCTTTCTGTTATCAACAAACTCCTCATTTTTTTCACAACCCGGTAACAAACAAGTTAGGAGAAAATTCTTAGATTCTGCAATAGCACTTCAGAGACTCTGGTTTCTGAGTTAAATGAGCCATTCTACACTTAAGAGCTCTTATTCAGACCAAAGATTTTCCCTATTCAGGAGAAAAAAAAAGCCAACAGATGCAACATACATTTGAATTCCAATATTAGATTAAACTTTTCTACCTTCTAATATTATTCTGTAGGTTATTCACCTAATTTTGGAATTTACCTTGATGTCCACAATATCACCTTTCTTGTAGATTCGCATGTATGTGGCCAAAGGAACAACTCCTGCACCCAAAAAAATCAGTATCGTCAGTATCAAGATTGAAGTCTACCTTATTAAAAAAAAATTTATGCTTACTAGCTTTCAACATATTTTATCTGTGATAGTTTTATTTTTAAATCTTGTTTGTAAGAAACTACTATATGAAATTTATGCTTTTTATTTATTACAAAAACATCTTAGGTGCTGGTTAATTACTGCCATCTATTAAGAATGCATTGTATGAATGTATGCCATGTTTGCTCTCATAGGTGGGTAAATTTACTTACCATGTTTTCTAAAAGGCCTAGAGAACATGTACCGGGTACCTCTCCTCTTTCCCTTTGTGTTGGTCATTTTGGCAAATTACTGAAAACAGAAAGTATAAAACAGTCAAATGCAAATGCAAAACTGACATTTGTCTTTTTTTTTTTTTTTAAAGATTTTATTTATTATTTATTTGACAGTAGGCATAGAGGTGGGCAGAGAGAGAGGGGGAAGCACGCTCCCCAAGGAGCAGAGCCCGGTGCGGGGCTTGATCCCAGGACCCTGGGATCATGACCAGAGCAGAAGGCAGAGGCTTTAACCCACTGAGCCACCCAGGCACCCCTCAGCCCTGCATTTTTATACGGTAGATTAAACCCCTTCTCTTACTGACTTTTTTTTTCTTTTTTGGTGACACAACCATCTGTTAACTGTCACGAATCCAAATCACTTCCTATTTATTTCTACTTACTCCATCACTCACTAATAAACATATGTCGAGTTGAAGGGGAAAAACACAGGCTTTATAACTTCTGACCTAATTCTGACTGAGATTCTGTCACTTGCTCCCCTGGGAAATTTATATTTAAACTCTGATCCTCATCTGCAAAATGGGAGTTAATCAACTGCGGTAAAATCTACAAAGCATTCACGAAGTTCTAGCCTATTTGCTTAACCACAGTAAGTTCATTATCATTATCTAAGAATTCACATACAGGCATTTCACACCAAATCTTTCACTGTTTCTCAAAAGTTTGAAACAATAGGTTTTATTGCTTTAGGTCATTCAAGGGCAGAACTACCATTACTGAAAATTACTTCTACCACAAGGCAAATAAATATATGTAAATCAGGCTTAACCGGACTGGACTGTAACATAATTCAGTCTCTTATTAACAGTTCTTTTTTTAAAGATTTATTTGAGGGAGAATGAGAGAGCGCACAAGAAGGGGGAACAGCAGAGGGAGGAGGAGAAGCCCTGAGCCACCAAGGTACCCTTTTATCAACATTTCCTAAAGAAAAGAGACTCCAAAGTACCTTAGTCATTAGCTTGAGAGATATGGAAACACAATGTTTCACCTAACTCACCAAAGCCAAATCACTGATGCAACAAACGCTTCCATTACTTTTTAAAAAGATAACTAAGCATCTATCAAGTGCCAGATATTCTACTCTGACCCTCAAATTCTCTACATTTGTGTCAACTCATACCGAAGTGTCAAGTTCATTAACAAGGAGAGATGCTCTGCAGGCTCAAATCACTAGTAATAATTAACGCAGGACACAGCAATGCTGTAGATTCTGTAACAGGACCCACTGTAAAATGCATCCGGCAGTTTGCTCAACTCTGGTAGCTACCACTTACAAACAAGATTAAGAAATTAAAGAAAAAAAGAAAGGGGAAGGAGGAGGAGAAAAAAAAAAAAGAAAAGGGTGATTAAAGGGTAATTCAAGAACTTTCTAAGATTCCAAATGAAACACCTAGCTATTCCCATGCCACCCCAGCGTTAACAGTATTCGTGGCAACATGAAAGCGCCTGAAAGCACCTTCCGTTTGTCCAAATGGGATCTAGGACCCCAACTTTAAACAGGATTAATTTCACACACTGAAGCCAAATGGTCTACAGCTCTTATCATGAAAAGCATCCTCTCTGTTCGGGGACCACGAGCCCAGGTTTTCAAACCCTAGGCCTCATCGGAGGTTAAAGTCCATGTCTTTACACCCGTAAAATCATTCCTATCACCCCATAAGCCCCTATCCAACAGCATCACAAATTTAGACTTTACAAGACTAGCAAAAACACCATACTGAAGAGTTCGAAAAGCACTGGGCCATGCGGCTGCACAAAGCCTGTCCGAAGACCCAGAATACTGAGGCTGAAGCCATGGGGACACAGGAAAAACAAATTCTTTCTCAGACTAACCCGAATTGCCTCACCCCCAGTGACTCGGCTTCGCTTTTCTCGGGTCTCTCCCTTCTTAGGGTCGCGGCCTTGCCGTCCGGTCCTCAGCCGCCGGCCGACGCCCGGCCCAGGCCACTCCTGTTCTGGACGAACATAGCTCCAGAACCTAGGTCAGTGGGCCCCGGACAGAGTAGACCGTCTCTCTAGGACCTAAATGCATGACCGCACCGGCCTCAGGATCAGTACTCGAGTCTGTGGGACACGCGGCACCAGGAGCCACGCTTAGGTCCTACCTGGAAGATGGCGGTTCCGGCCGAAAGGAAGGAGGCGGGGCCGCAGCTCCCGCCTTACAAGGGCCTCCGGGCTGCCCGGACCACTGCCTGAAATAAATGCCAGGAGAAAGCAACTCTTCCGGGAAAGGGGATCTTCTCAGAGAACAAGGGGAGGCTGGCAAAATATTTTTCTTTCTTGTGAAAAAAAGGCTATAAACCAACTCAAGCTGACACTTGGGTCTTTCCGGACAGCCCGGAAAGGGGCCTTCAAGGGCGTCTATCACGACGTCCACGTCCCAAGCGTGCTGACGTTCGCCTTTGCGTCGAGCCTTCGCCGGAAGCGCGCTTGTGTCGGCGTCTCCGGGCGCCGGAGAGAGGTTGGTGTGACGGTGCTTAATCGTTTCGTGGGGCTTTTAACTGCTCTGTTTGTGTGCAGAAATGATTACGTGGGCACAAAAGAGAAATTGTAATTAGGCAAACATATTATCCGCTTTCTGTGTCTTTCAAAAGCTTTTTCCCTATGAGCCAAGATATACCACGCTCTTGCTAGTGTGTGCGTAAATGTTACATCGTTTTGAAAGCAGTTTGGCAAACAAAGTAAAACTGCAAATTTTTAAATACTGTACCCTAGTATTCTGCTTCTAAGTGTATATCTGGTAGAAACTTTGACAGGGAAATCAGGATGTGCGTAACACCACTGTCAGTAAAAGCAGAAAATTAGCAACATCCACCGAAGAGAATACAGTAATGAGATGTTCATATGATGGGATATGTCAGTAAATCAAAACTAGACCCAGAAATTTGAGACAAAAAGAGGAAGGCGTAGAACGTACATAGTATGACAATCTATATACATAGAATCTTAATACATGTGAAACAGTACCATATGTTGTTTAGGTGTGTGTGCATACGTAGTGGAAGTAGTCAAGAAATAAAAGATAAAAATCGAATTTAGAAATCTATTTCACGTCCACTAGAGAAGGAACTATAAGAGAGGTTTTTACTATCTTGACCGTTAGTAAGCTGAGTATTGGGAAATACAGGTAGCCCTTGTTTTATTCACTTTTTTGATATGTATTTCTTTTAAAGATTTTATCTATTTATTTGTCAGAAACAGCACAAACGGGGGAGCGGCAGGCAGGAGGAGAAGCAGGCTACCTGCTGAGCAAGGAGGCTGATGTGGGATTCGATCCCAGGGCCCTAGGATCATGACCTCAGCCAAAGGCCGACACCTAACTGACCGAGCCACCAAGGCATTCCGATTTGTATTTTTAGAAGCGTGTTTTTAGAGTAGTGTTAAGATTTATTTTTAAAAATTTTTGAGAAAATAGTAACAGAATTTCTCTATACCTGGTACCCAGTTTCCCCTATTAACATTTTACATTAGTATGGGACATTTGTTACTGTTAGTGGACCAATTTTGTACATTATTAATAACTAAAATCCATTGTTTATTCAGATTTCCTTCATTTATTCAGACATCCTAATATTCTTTTTCTATTAGAATTCCATCCAGAATACCACATTATATGTAACTATCATGTCTTCTGATGCTGTGACGCTTCCTCAGACTTGCCTTGTTTTTGATAAGCTTGACAGTTTGAGGAGTACTGGTCAGGTATTTCACAGCATGCCCCAATACTGGAATTCGTCTGATGCTTTTCTCATTGTATTATTTTTATGACGTATTTTCTAAAAGTCAGCTAAGCAACAAAAATCTTAATCTGTTTGAACTTAAATAATATTACTCCACTGATGTTTCACGTTTATTTGACTTACTCTCCTGATGCATTTGGATTTGTAATTTCTAAAAACTGCATAGGCTCCAGAATTTTGATTTTTATATATCCTGTGACTGTAGTCTTTAGCCTTGAGCTCACTTTCTCAAGAACTTGAGAAATTAGGAGCCAGTCTTCATCAATTCCTTTTAGTACATTGACTCCTCCTCCTTAACTGTAACTAATAATTCCCTTTAGCTTCTATATTCTTCATCTGGCTTAATTTTTCGTAGCCATTATTACAGTCACTCCATCTCAACTAACTCAAGTCAGTCTTCCCTATCACTCTCCTAACAAATGTACTACCTGGGGTAAAAGCAACCTCTGTTTTCTTCAACACATAGTTTCAAGAATTAAGATATGTCACATAAAAATCAAGATTTCTGGCTCCTCTTGAAAAAGGATGTGGCGGCATACATGGGATTGATAGTTTGGGTGGTAGCAATCCAGTGGTCATCTCGTTTAGACTGGATACATATTCTTGAGTTTCATCACACTGCGCCTACTTCACTTGTTTCCTTATCTTGCCCCTGTGGCATTTGAGCTTTAACCCCCTGCCACATTCATGCTCAACAATTCTCAAGTGGCGCCTAACATCCCCACTGCAGTTCCCAAGTTAGTTTACTTACCTACTCTCTGTAAGGTTTATCTCACATTTTTTCTTCAATAACCAAATCTTCCATCCCTTTTCTTCACCTTTTTCTCAGCTGATAATTGCTTCACTTTTATCCCTGTATGAACACGTTTTGGCCTTTCCACCCAAAACCCACAACTCTCTCCTTACACCTTCCTGGCTCTACTTGACCTCATCTTTCCTTCTACACTGCTCCATATTTTCTTCCACCAACCTTTTTTTTTTTTTTTTTTTAAAGATTTTATTTATTTATTTGACAGAGAGAGCGATCACAAGCAGGCAGGGAGGCAGGCAGAGAGAGGAGGAAGCAGGCCCTCCGCAGAGCAGAGAGCCCGATGCGGGGCTCGATCCCAGGACGCTGGGATCATGACCCGAGCCGAAGGCAGAGGCTTTAACCCACTGAGCCACCCAGGCGCCCCATTCCACCAACCTTTTTATAAAAGAATCATTTGAAATGGCTGTTTTTGTACAACAAAAACTGTCCGATTTCAGCAAGGTCATATGGTTAACCTAATACATGAACATTACTATTTCTTATCTCCTATTGTGTTTTCAGTTTAATCTGATTTCTGCCCTGGTTGTGCCACTAAAGCTTCCACGTTACCAAAACCAGAAGGTTCTCTCTTCATGTCTTTCTTCACCTCTCAGAGCCTTTGGCCATTCCCTCCTTGAAACACTATGCTTTCTAACCACTTCACAGCCTATTTTGCTGGTTTTCTTTACTCTTCTTGTCTTCTAAATAATAGGCTGCCTCAGGACTTGGAACTAGTTCCCCTGCTCTTCTGTTTCTCCATTCTCTTCTTGGGGAATTCTATGTATACCTATAATTTTAAATGTTGTCTTTATCCTGCTTACTATCAGATTTATTTTTTAAATTCAGGACTTTTCTCAAAACTATTCAGAGTAACAGCTATTCTTGGATACCCTTCAATATCTCACAGTTAGTGTCCACAATAAAACTTATGATTTCCACTCCCATACCGGTTTTCAGTCCAATGTTTCCCATGTCAGTAAATAACATAAACCAGAATCCTTGGTTTCATTTTTAAGTTTTCCTTCCCCCTCACCATATCCAGGCCATCAGCAAATTTTGTCCCAGTTCCACCTGCAAAATGTATTTACAGATGGCCTGCCTCTTTCCATCTCTGCCAGCACCACTAGAATCTCTCGCTCGAACTAGCAATGGACCCATTAAGGTCACTTTTTTCTCTCTTGCTTCTGCTCTGTGCATTTTCTACATAGTAGCCAAAGCATAAGGAATAACGTGGAGGACATTAGGAGAAGGAAAGGAAAAGTGAATTGGGGGAAATCAGAGGGAGAGACAAACCATGAAAGACTGTGGACTCTGAGAAACAAACTGAGGGTTTTGGGGGGTATAAGTGAGCCTGGTGGTGGGTATTAAGGAGGGCACATATTGCATGGAGCATTGGGTGTGGTGCATAAACAATGAATCTTGGAACACTGAAAAAATTAAATTAAAAAAAAAAGAAATCTAAACCTGATTGTGTCATGACTTTGCTTAAAGTCTTCCAAAGACTTTCTGTTAACAATAAAGTCTAAACTCATTACCTTGGTTTACAAGGTCCTGCATAAACCAGTTCTTGGTTATCTTCTCAGGTTCACTTGGTTCCTGCCCCAATTCACTGTAGCTCCCACTGCCTTCTGTGAAGTTTCCTGACCCTGGCCAGGTCTCTCTAGCCTCAAGGGCTTTGTGCCTACTTTTCCCTTGCCTTTCAGATGGCTCATTCTTTCTCATCTTTTTGTTTCCTAAACATTAACATACTACATTGCTTTATATATCTACATGGTTAGGAATTTAGAAAGATATTTAGGTTATAAAGCAAATCCAAATGTGACCAAAATATTTGCAATTACTTCTATTTTAGGTAACTTAAAAAAAAAAAATCTTTGTCATAGGAAAAATTCAATTCTAAGTCAGTAGTTCTGTTTTTTAGCATATTCTTTTATCTACCCACTCATCAGTTGGTCCTGGCTAAGTGTAACCAAAATCATATTACTTTTAGCCTAAGAAAATCATAATTAAGAAAATAAAAATAATAGTAAAACAAATCCAGAATTAAATGTGTCCTTGCTGTGACCCATCATTTTAGACTTTGTACATTGTTCTTGACTTAATTGAATATAAGTAAATATTTGAAGCCTAGTATGATATGTATATATGTGTGTATACATGCATATACATGGACATGTATATATACATACATATACATAGACGTGTATGTATGTATGTATACATGAAAGAGAGACATATATTTTAATTATACACACTAAAATGTACAGATCCTAACTACAACATTTGTTTTTTTTTTTTTTTTTTAAGATTTTATTTATTTATTTGACAGACAGATCACAAGTAGGCAGAGAGGCAGGCAGAGAGAGAGGGAAGCAGGCTTCCCGCCGAGCAGAGAGCCCGAAACGGGACTCGATCCCAGGACCCCGGGATCACGACCCAAGCTGAAGGCAGAGGCTTTAACCCACCGAGCCACCCAGGCTCCCCTAAGCATTTTTTTCTAAAAACTTTATTTATTTGTCAGAGAGAGAGAAAGCACACAAGCAGGA